ATCCATCCATCCATCCATCCATCCATCCATCCATCCATCCATCCATCCATCCATCCATCCATGGACAATCCACCTATCCATCCATCCATCCATGGACAATCCATCCATCCATCCTGCCATCCATGGGCCATCCATCTATCAGAAAATGTCATTCTATGTTCTCCCATCCCTTGCAGTCATCTATCTATCTATCCATTCATCCCATCCCATCCTATACTGTACCGTTTTCATTCTGTGGTTCCATCCACCGTGTCCATCTTGCAGTTTCTTCACCATATCCATGTCTTCACTAACCAACACTTTATCACCAGCTTTATAATGACGGATCTAAATAAAATAAATAACAAATCATCACAAGATGAAAATATATACTAGCCTCGATATAAAAGAAACGATACAAAAGATATTGTTATTGTCTAATATTTGCTGACACTCGGGCATGTAGAATATCACGGTATCGATTCCTTTACTTTTTTGTCAGACCCTGACGATAGCCAGGATGGCCGTAAACAAGGTCATTAAAAGCTTAAAGACGGAGAGGGATTTTTAATCGTTATATAAAATTTTTTCCTCTCTTTCTCAGGTTACCTTGGCGAGTGCTTGTGGGGCGAACCGAAACTTTGTACCATCGTAATCTACAATGACGTCACCAGACTTGGTAAAGTCATGGACAACACCGATTTTTTGAATATACTGGAAAGATTCAAAAGAAAGTAAGGCATATAAGGTATATATATATATACTTGATTGCAGAAAGGTTGTAGTATACATTTATACATATACCTAATGAGATACAATATATCAAATGAGATGCATAATGTAAAGCACGCCTAAATACGATTGCTTAGCCACCACATTTTGTGGAAAATACTTTAACTTGACTTTGTGCAATACTAATGTGTATGATACAATAGAAGATAAATAAGACCAAATAAGTTACTTTTTTACTTTCTGCATCTCATTTGATATCTTGCATCTCATTAGATATATGTATAAATATCTACTACAACCTTTTTGCAATCAAGTGTGTGTGTATATATATTACTATATTACTATATTACTATATATATATACACCTACTTGCAAGAAGGTTGTCATACAAGAATATAACATTAGTAATTTTGAGAGAAATGAAGACATTAAAAGACAAAAGTAAAAATTCAGCTTCAGTGATCTTCTTTTGTTTTTTTACTAAATCACTAATGTTCTATTTTCGTATGACAACGTTTTTTCTTAAGTACTGCAATCTATACTTTACAATTTATAACCTATTTAGTACAGAATTCTTAGATTCTATTTGTTCTCATTAAAGTCGGGCTGCACGAAGGCTATACCAACAACAAACTAACGTACAAATTGCTTTAGACTATTAAGAAGTAATCAGAGGTGGTTTATATACCTTTTCCATGTCATCATTCCATCCTCCATGGCCTTCAGCTAACTCCATCAGCTCATCCTTTGTGACGTTAACCTTGACTTTGTCTTTGTCTTGACTTTGTCTGGCCGTCTTCTTGGCTCGTACTCGTAGTCCTGGCAGGTGGTCCCTATAGTAAAAGCCTCCGGTTTCTGGTGTAGTTGATAGTATATCGACCTAAACAGATTTATTGAAAAAAGAGTTACTTTAAGGAACGATCGAACGGACGAACGAACATATATGAAAGAATGATCGAACGAACGGAGTAAAGGAGGAACGAACTACGGAACGTATGAAGGAACGATCAAACGAACGGAGTAAAGGAGGAACGAACTACGGAACGTATGAACGAACGAACATATCTAGATGAACCGATCGAACGAACGTATAAACAAACGATCGAACGAATGATCGAACGAACGAACAAACGAAGGAAGGAAATGGAACACGTGAACGGGCAAAAGAAACACAAATATTACCTTTCCTTTAAAACCGAGCCTGTACACATTCTCCTTGTTACTTCTGTCCCATTTGACTGAAACACTATTTTTAGCTCCATTCTTCCAGCTTCTTGTTTCTACCACGGTTCCCTTTCCACCTGGACCACCATCTTGTGCTCCCCAGCGCCAATCAGGTCCTCTTTCTACTCTTGCACCACTAAAAGTACCTCTTGCTTGGATTTTTGTCGCACCTTCGCGTTTGCCAACTGGAACACTAGATTAAACATCGATCCACAGATCAACTTATATCTATTTCACTTTACATCTGTTGAAAACGCTGTCGCACGCAACGTAGAATGAATCCTTAATAGGCCTCTTTACCTTGGGCGTAATTTTTTCCTGTTTCAGACGACGTGTCTTTAATTTCCCAAAAGTATCATTTCCTTGCTTAATAGTTGGGCATGAGAAGATATGAATATGGATACAACTTAAATGCTACAATCTTACAATCTTATTCTCAAGAGAATGACACGTGGTTTGAAATGGGAAAACATTATGTCTATGCTAAAGAAGTCTATTCCACGATTAAGCGAATGTTTGACTCACCGTTGTCCATTTTGGTATTCCATCCGAGAAAACACACACTCCAAGTCATGGGTATCTGCCATGTAACAGCTTGTACAGAGATCATAGTTATCACACGTCATACATTTCCAACGAATACCAAGAACAGGCTGCTGATTGCATCCATCACACATAACCAAGATATGTTTTCCTGCACTAGACGCTGCAAAACGAAAAATACTTAATGGATTAACATGGAAAAGGGAAAACACTATTTTTCACCCATAATAGTCGGTTTCGCGTTTGGCACATACCGCGATTCCTTTAACCCGGTTTAGCCTAGTTTAAGAGCATGATTGTTTGCAAAAGTCAACTACAATGTGAAGAATGTGCAACTTGTTTATTGGCGAGGGCCAAAAGAAAGGCTGGCTGTGTAAACGAGAATGTTACCAAATAATCTAGCGCGTTGTTTTAAATATTGCTTCAAATAATCATTACTACTGTTATCATTGCTACATGCAATTTAAAGGATTAATTTGCATTAGGGTACAAAATGTCAACGAAAAGTTAGTCCTAATTTCGATTCAACAATACATTTCTTTAAAATTATTTATGTATTTACTTGTTTTCTTCAGCCAAGCATGGTGTCGACAAGTGTTGGGTGATTGTTCTTGATTTCCTCGACATGCGCAGTGAGTTGTTCACATTGTTTCTGGAGGTAATCTCCCTTGTAACTTGAGCATTACTTACAGTGCGAATCGGAAAACCGTGGGCACCTAGAAAAATTCCAAGAATGCTTATTAGCCAATCAGAAGCGTTATTGTTATCTTTCCGCATTTTCTTCGTTGTTAGAAAGTCAATTCTGATTGGCCAAAAAAGAATAGAACATTCCTGGAATATTTCTAGGTGCTCACGGTTTTTCGATTCGCACTGTAATATCAATAATATTTGGTTTGTCTCTGATTTTAAGTAATGATAACTAAACGTTTCGACCGTATACCAATGGCCTTCATCAGTAAAATGATGCCTTAAACATTACTTATTTACGATCGAAGCCAAGCATTTCGGTTTACCTGCTCCACTGCTGTCGTAGACTCTTAAATCCATCTTCTCATCTAAGCCTGCTCTATAGTTGGCTCGTGCACCAGTGTCCCATTGTACCCATACTGTACTCTCAACACTATCTTCCTCATTTTGTGCTGCTTCTACTACTGTTCCTACACAGCCCTCTCCGCCATCTTGGTCTTCCCATTCCCAGTCTGGGCCACGTACGACACGACAGCCTAAATACATTCCTTTTGAATGGTTATAGTCCTTCAGTTATTTACTGATACAATCTGTGAAAATAACCAATAGTAGACCAGTACCGCTGTGTTCCTTGATTACAGACTCATTTACTCAGGGATAGCCTTGTATCAGTGTTTAAATATTCACAAATACCAACAGTAAAGTAAAGAATGCACAACTTCAACAATACAAACACTTTGTAATTACATGCACTTCACTGGAACACAAGAATATTCTGCAATATTCGAGGCTAAGTCTGAGCAACAGAGAACTCGAAACTGGAGTATTAAGAGGAAGGGAGTTGGGGCCATAAATACAGACTTCGTAAAAACTAATGGTCATGTGCACTGAAAGTTTAAAGATACGAAAATATATGAGTGCTTTCGATTTTCCTGTCCAGTGGAATTCCATTGCGCAGTTTTTTATATCTTCCTTGGATAATTAACTTTAATCAAAACCATTTCGTATTTAGTTTTGAAAAATCTATTCATCTAGTAGAAAAACTAAGAGTTTCTTAGCTATTTCTTAACCATTTTATTGAATATTGTTTACAGACAAGTTCTTTAGATCATTATTTTAAATTAAGATTCTCGATTCTCAAGCGCACTTAGAAATTAAAATTGCGTCAATCATAAGATTTTGTACTGCGTCAGCACAAATTCAAATAATTCAAATTTTGCTTATTCGACTGAATTTTTAACCAGCAAATAGTTATTACATCTGTAATTCATATATCCTATGACTAAAAGCTCAGATCTTCTAAAAAAAATACTATAAAATAATCTCGATTCATAATAACTTTCACTTTCACTTTCCCTTTCACTTTCCCTTACTGATGCATACAAACAGGAAAGCAGTGACTAATCTTGGTTACCGTTACTCGATACAACTCCGTTCGATCGCAACAAAATAGTTTAAGGTATATCGTTAATGATTTGGAATGAATTACAGATCGAGTAGACGATTTCATGTCCAAAAATGTTTGCTATTTATTTCCTGTGTCTTCACTCTATTGCTCGAAGTAAGTTAGACTCTTATGATCTATGCGAACACGAAAAATGTAAGTCTTAAAAAGTACTTGGTGCGATGTCTGTCGAAATCTTTGTGCTAGAGTCGTATTGAATTGGAACTGAAATTATGAATTTGATCCTGTTTTCCTCATGGAAAGCGGAAGTAAATATCTTGGTTCGCTATTAATGACGAAGCAGACAGAATTTAAAACCAAAACAAACCGAGAAATATTTGTTTTAAATACGTGTTAGAGATGAAATAAAGTATAATATCTGTTTAATATATATATATATATTGACTTGATACTTACCTCAATTGAATACAGCGATCTGTTAAATTATCACGATCAAACCCCGGCTGGGAAGAAACTGGAGCGTTCTCAGTTTCTGCTTTGTGCGTTATGAAACTGACAAGTTAATTTAGGGGATTTCCCTTACTGTGCAGACACTAACCCGGACTATTTGAATATCGATGTGCTATCTGATTGGCTGTTTAAAAAATATTGAAATAAATGTCGCAATATGATTGGTTAATGATACTAGTTTATCAAAGGTCCCGGTTGGAGTATCCGCACAGTAGACATTAATTACTCAGTGTAAATTCCCAGAATACTTATAGGAGTAAGCGTTGCGTGACGACCCTAATAGTGGCTGCGTAGGACTCTTATTATGTTTCTGAAATCTATCTTAAATCTTCTGAAATGAAATGGCACAAATGGTAAAAATCAAATAAGAAATGAAAGTGAAACGAAGCGAAACGACATGAAGCAAAACGAAACGAAACGCTTACAAAATCAAATAAAAAGAAACTAAATAAAATGGAATAGTGATATGCAAAAGGAAGGGAAGTAAACATATGCTGATTTGCATTTAATAGTTGAGCTATTAAATATTTCCAAGAAATGTCACGGTATTTCATAACATTTATCCACAGGTAACCACAACTCTGTGGCTGCGTTTCTTGAAACCATGAAGGTTTAAAATAAGATGTTAAAATAATAAGATGAAGTASGTTAAGTTTCGCAGCTAAAATACTCTCATTTTTAAGTAGTGTTCAGGCCATGTGCGACATTAATTTCGATGAAATTCAAAATCCCCTCGTATAAGCAAAGCTAGTTGATCACTATTTTCACTTATCCATTGGTATTTAGGAGCATTTTAAAGTCGAATTTAACCCAACCCTGCGTCAAGTATTCTGTAAACATAGAAAACTTAGTGCCATGTTAAGAAACAGGGTTTCCAAGCTCCATCGCACTTACACTTACCTCAGGTAAAACCTTGTTCTGACTCACTATGAACTGACGCTTTGGGAAAATACATAGATATACAGGTGAACCTGATGAATATTTATTATTTACATTCATATTAATACTACGGGGAATCCTTTAAACATGTCTTTATTCAGCAAAATGTTTTACCAACGTTAGCAAAACCAAAAAAAGTTGTGTATAGAAAAACACGTAATGGAAATGCAATGAGTATTCTTATCCTGAAAATCTAGTTTTTTCCTGATTTGAAATAGGATTCATTCCTGTCATATTGAGGTATGCTTTTCTCCTCTGGACCTGGACCATGATTCCTTGTAGGGCAGGGTAAGAGAGCCATGTGACATTTCCAAGAAACACAGGAACACGACCACTTGTCACTCTTTCCTTGAATTTTTTTATTTATTTGACCTTTTTTAAAATGAACGGTCCCTCAATAATCAGCTATATTTGAGTTCAAAATTTGCAAATATGGAGTGAGAAGAAATCGAACTCGTTTTTCTTATTTTTGAAAATAATTGAAAAAATAAATGTTGTCTGGTGTATTATCGTATTTCGTATTATTTATTTATTTATTTATTCGTATTATTTATTCGCGCTACTGCAAAATCAAGACACGAGAAACATCTAAAGCTAAAATAACCACAATACACAAGTGAAATGGTTTTAAAGCTTTTATTACTTTGCGCTGCTGCAAAATCAAGACACAAGACACAACTAAAGCTAAAATAACCACAATACACAAGTGAAATGGTTTTAAAGCTTTTATTCCTTTGCGCTGCTGCAAAATCAAGACACAAGACACATCTAAAGCTAAAATAACCACAATACGCAAGTGAAATGGTTTGGCACACTAGGAAAATAAGTGTTGCTTACTCTATTGTAGCTTACCATACCTTACTAAATGCACTCTATCGTAAGGAAAATTAAATATTATTAAGTTATCATCATGATGTAACATACGGCTCTCGGAAAGGAAAGTTTTAAATTAGAATAAAATTCTTCAATATGGTTAGCAGGTTCAATTTAATCTATCAAGAAATTACGTAGTTTTAATTTAAGAGCGGTTAATCTAGAGATTGGACGGGCAAGCTGTTGCATGCTTTTTTGTTGTTGTTATGGTTGTTGTTGTTGGTGTGATCGTTGTTGTGATCGTTGTTGTTGGTGGTGTTGATGTCATCGTTGTTGTTGGTGGTGGTGTTGATGTCATCGTTGTTGTTGTTGGTGGTGTTGGTGTCATCGTTGTGGTTGTCATGGTTGCTGTTGTCGTAGTCGTTATCGTCTTTCGTCATTAGAGAGTTTTAGAATCTCGTATACGACAAATGTGAAACGTGAAAAGTTAACTATCAGTGAAAACTTCTTTAAAATTAGTGAAAAGGAATCGCCAAAATCTCCAAGTATTAGATAAACAAAAGAATATTTGTCTTTTGTGAAAAGGTATGCAAAAGGTAAAGCGAAATGCAGGAAAACGATGAAAACGTGGTCAATTTTGCCGTTTGTGGGAAGAAAAAACGTGAATCTAAAACTCTCTAATATCCAACATGGTTCTCTGCTAGCAGTCCTAATTCTACCTTGATGTGCAGAGGGAGTCTTCTTTTGTTGTTGTTAAAAAGGAATAGGACTGTTCTAGCAGGGAATCAGTATGGTACATTTACTTCCATCGTCTTGTTTTCGGAGTGCACAGGGAGCTCACCCCAGAGATCGCTTAGAATATGGCTATTTTCTTTTGGATTTCCTTTTTACAGATAGCACAAACACTAAGATGTTCAGCGCAGACCTGACATGCGCCATGCCCGCATGAGAAGATGATGTTTTTCTTCCTTTCCAGACAAACACAGCAAGTTACCATCTCCTCGAGTTTCTTTAGCTTTTTCTCCGTTGATTGCAACTTTTCTTTCGCGTCCAGGTCCTCTTTTTCGACTTTAGGAGGTACTTTTTTTCCATCTAAAAGAAGGACAATATTTGAATCTAGATTTGAAATCCTCGTTGAGCTACGAATTTGCAAATGACTTTGGCATGTATTTTTATTTTTATTTTTCTGATTAAATGAAAGGGAATTTCAAACATTCTAAATTGATTGTCTTTGTTGACTTACCTTCAGTTGTCTTGTTCATCACCAGTTGCTTGCATTCTGGACAGCGTTTAGCTCGAACAGAACACCCTAAAAGCAGATAAGGTAGTGTGAGAATGTGGAGATGAATGTTGCAGTGAGTAGGGAAAATCATAGCCTAGCAATCTTGCTACAGTCGTATCTTTTCATTACGGTTGGTGTGCTCAGATTGGATTAGGCGTACCACAACAAATAGATCTACTGAGAGGTGAAGCAAGCATGCAGTGCTCATAAAAGGTCTATAGATGAGATGCGCAATGAAATGGGAACGCCATTTCAGTGTTAAGGCATGTCTTACAAGAACCTCCCGTATATGAGATGCGCAAAAACTGCGCACGAGAAGCAACTTGAATGTCACTGATAATTGGAACCACCTAGCATGCGTCTTTGATGCAGTGCGCAAAAACAAAATCTGAAGCCACTAAATTTGCGCACTCTCAGATCTACAACCATGGAGTATCTAGAAGAAAAAAGATCTCGTCTGGTGACCTATGGTGACAGATCTTTTTACGTTGCTGGCCCTAAACTGTGGAATGACCTCCCACTTCCAATTAGGAAAAGTTCTTCAATCCAATTATTTAAAAATGAACTGAAAACTCATTTGTTCAAGAACTTTGTCTCCTCTGATTCAAAGTGAACATCAATGAACTATGACATTTCATTAATATTGTAATATACGTCTGGTATTTATTTTATTTCTTATTGTGAAGCGCCATGAATTTTGATATGTGCGCTATATAAGTTCCATTATTATTATTATTATTATTACTATAATGTCAATGCGTGCTTACCAGGCGCAAAAACATGGAGAAGCCATTTCAAAGTTCAAACAAGCCATGTCAGTTCTTATGCATGCATGCCTGACGTAGCTTCTGCACAATAAAATGGGGGTAAGGTATTCCTAACCCTATAACGATGACAAGATGTATGAAAGCAGCAATCACGCATACAGGTATGCGTGCAATGTTCCAGTACCTTTACACAGGACAGTGTGTCCACATGGCTTGAATACAACGTCTGCTTCACCATCGATGCAAATCAAACAACTCCTCTTAGTTTTCTTCACTGGTGAACTGGTTCCGTTCTGGAATTCTTCTTCCTCTTCCACTTGCTTACCAGACATTTTCTGTTGACTGTCTTCTTTCGAGGTCCCTCCCTCTTCGGTTTTTACGTTTTTAGCTTCCAGTGTCTGTGCATTTTTAAACCCATCTATTGAACGAGTGACCGTTTGGTTTTCGCTGATCTCTTGGTTTACTTCCATTAGTTCTCTGGCCTGCACAGTGTCTTCTTCCTGAAAATGCACAAGAATATTTATTTCAGTTCAAGGTAAGATCGCATGACAAAGTATTTCACATCTATCACTGAATTTTTTCGTTTATCGATCATCTCTCACTTGACTTACTTTTTTGCTTGCAAAGTTATTAACTATATTCATTTTTTCACTTCCAGTTGGTTTTTTCTCTTCCTTTACCCTGGAGAAAGCAGATATAAATACATCTTACAGGTAGTCGGCAAATAGCATTTGCATATAAAGTCTACAAACGAACGTCAACACAAGAGTCTCTTGTAACTCAGTAAACCCAAGACGTTTTTCGCGAGAATATATTACGAAAGAACCTTGATGCAACGTCTAGCAATGTAATCATTGCACATAGATGAGATCTAACATAGATGACAAGTGTTAAGGCATAACGTACACTCTTACCATCGTGTACCATTAGGTAAGATGCAAAAGAACATGGAAACCATTTCATTATCAACTTATTTTTTCGTATTGAAATCTTTAGTATACCTAATAATTTTTTGCTGGTATGATTTGTTCGACTGCAGATTTCCAGCCTTAATTCTTAGCGGTCTTAATTTTTTTGAGATGCACGGAAAAAGCGCGCTGTTAAGGCATCACCATTTGACATGATATGCTCCTGATACTACTGATCGGTACTTACTTGGTCTCTTCAAAGGCTTTCCTGAGGTCTGGTTCAGCTTTGGTGCCTTCACCGTATTCCATGGGAGTCTTGCCAGCCTGATTAGGTTGACGTACATTAGCGCCATGCGATATCAAGTACCGTGATATCTCTGTGTACGAACTAGTGCTCTTACCAAACAGACCAAGCAGCTGTAAAATATGTTAGATAAATGTTGGGTTAATGTTAGGACCAATTGTCAGGGTCGTAAGGAACACGCGATATCTCTGCGTATAAACTGTCACTGTTTTCATGGTTACCCAAGGCTCGCAATAATCGACCTTCAGAGCACACTAGATTATCAGAGAGCTTTCCAAGTTTCTGCGACCCAAACAGCTCTAGATGCGGTATATTTGCTCGTACTTGGGCTTCCATCCCCTAGCATCAATTAGACCTCAGTCTTTATCTTGGATCAATGCAAGTTTTTCCATTTCAGACCATGTATTATGAGAATAGGATTCTTTAACTCAGTTGTATCCATATTCATATATCGTCTCGTGAGCAATCGTTAAACGAGGAAATGATACTCTAAATAACAAGTGGTCTGAAATGGGAAAACATTACCCCCAAGGTAAAGTTTGGTTTATTATTTTACAACGGTCTTAGATAGTAATCTTTTGATTGACAGGATCCAAAGACACATCCGTTTGAGAGTTGTCTAGGTCGCAGAAAGATTGTTTTACGATTTATGTAATTATTACCGAGCCCATTCCTACGGAGAAGAATTTCTCGCGCATAAGAGAGACGTGAAGAGGTGTATCACCATCCTCATCAGCTGCGTTGACGTCTGCCCCGTGCTGCTCAAAGATCTTGACCATTTTCAGGTATCCTTCATGTACGGCTAACATCAGTGGTGTTTGGTTGTTTTTCGTGCGACAGTCGACCTTACAATCATTCTAGAAAACGTACATTTTTCATTGGTTATATATCTTTCTTTCAGTGACTATTCCATGGTCCTTTCATTAATTAGACTAAGGTCCATGTCAAACGTCGACCCTCACATGAGCCGAACATAATGACATCAAACAAGATCGCCTTTTTATCCATTTTTTCAATTAGCTTCGGCTCTAGTATAGTTCAACGTTTGACCTGAGCCTTTGCATCCTATTTTACCATAGGTATTCATAGCAGAACGCGAAATCCGTACTCTCTTATGTTATAGGTAAAACAAATCATTCGCAATACTCCAGTTTCGAGTTCTCAAAGCTACTTTACCGTTGATATTTAGACACTGATGCGAGGCTAACCCTGAGTATTCTGAGACGAAGGAACATAGTGATAACTTGGAACTCGAAAATGGCTCAGACTGATTGTACTTACTGTATATGTTTCTACGTATATCGGAAAAGGTCAGAACGTCGTACAGGCAAACAAGACTTACCTGCGCCAGGATGATTTCAGCAATGTCACAGTGATCATTGACAGCGGCCAAGTGCAAAGACGTGAAACCATCTTCTTTGGGCACGTTCACCAACTCTGGAGACTTGGCAAGTAATTTTCTTGCAGCACTATTGATAGATAAACCCATGGTAGTTTTGTAATTTACGAATTTGAAAAAGGTCTACTTTGTGACCATCTGTACTTACTATGAGTTGCCTTTGTACGCTGCCAAGTGCAGGAAGTTGAATCCACTTTTGTTTTTCAGCGTGAGGTTTATTTTCGGCGCGTCCAAGATCAAGTCAAGGATGTTGTTATTTCGTTTTGATATGGCGTCGTGCAGGGGCGTTTCTCCAACTACGTCCTATAATAATCAAGTATTCTTGGGTACGTGTGATGTCATAGCCGCCATGTTGATTGACGTTAACAAAAGATGTGATTGCACTTGCTTATAACATAGAGGGTCCAAAGTCAAGTCTATTGCGCGCACGAGCCAGAATTTTAAGGCCAAGGTACGAGGTCTACTTTTACGTATTAGCTATACCAATCTTGAGTAAAAGACTGGGTCGAGTTGGATTTGCAGTGCATTTTGGGATTGCTTTAGGGGACGAAATAGACGCCATGTTGAAAATATGTCCCATAATGCACTGCAATGCCAACACGACCCAGTCTTTTCCTCAACCTCGGAATGGCTAATACGGCCTCTCACTAGATCATGCTGAAAGATGGGTTGACTATTTGAATTACCTGCAGATTAACATCACAAGTAGCTGTCTGCACCAGTATTCTAACAGCATTGTCATTCGATTCTTTGACAGCCAGATGTAATGGTGTGCATTTGGTGTCGTTGTCAGCGATGTTCGGATCCACCCCGTGCGCAATCATTAATTTCATTGCTTCGCCGGTTTTATCTCTGAAAAAAAGGTAAAAATGATGTCTGATTTTTCGCCAAGAAAATCTCACAAGTGAACATGTTACGCGTTGGAAACTATGGCTGGAACTTGTCTTACAAAGCCACTTATTACAAACAATGGTTCAAAGTCAAGGCTAAACTTGACAAATGACATCAAATGTATGAAAACATCATGTCCTCGACTTGGAAGCATATTGTTTCGTGGTCACAAATTCGGGAAAGGTTCACAGCACAAGTTCCAACTGAAAGTTTCGCTTCATCGCATACCCATAAGCTGCATGATGGATGGCGGTGTATCCTTGTCCATCCTAAAAAGAACGATTAAAGAACAGGTTAATTCAATTTATCTCATGTATACAAAACATCAGCAGTAGAGAAAAAGCCCGAGTGCAGATTCTGGGGGGTGTGGGTGGAGGGGGGGGGGGATGTGGTGGTGTGTGTGAAAGGCACATGGGCACTGCATGGTAATGGAAAATAAATCTCTTGGTACAAAGTTTGCATCCTGTCCTACAACGAGGCTGCCGTGTCTCCATTCCAAATCCACTTCAAAACATGTCTCTTATAAAGATTTCTTCCTTTCAATGTAGATATATGTCGCAGATCTTTGGTACCTTGATTGAAATATCAGCGTTCTTCTCCAGCAGTAGCTGGATAATGTCACAGTAACCGCTGTGGCATGCCATGTGCAGACAGGTCTTCTCAAGCAGTGACGACTTATAATTCAACTGGAATATAATCAAAGGTACGCCGATTAGTTGATTTTATAACTTTACAGTGCTTCTTGATAGCACGTGCGGAATTGCGTCATCGCGGACGTCAATTAAGGCGTTTCCGTGACATTGCGTAAAAAACACTGACTTACATCCATCAAAAACCCATTTTGTCGCATTGGCAAATGTTAGGATACCGCGCGTGCTATTGAGAAGCACACCGGTGAATCCTAGACCTAGACCTCGTGTAAATGATGTGTTTTTACGAAGCTTTGATGGAATGAATATATAGAGTCGAACTTCTGCGATCTATAGATTCCTTGCATTGAATACCTAGAGGAATTGTTCTGGGGGACTAAACAATAGAGCGTCCTTACTTATGCAAAAAAAAGCCATTGTTTTGTCCCCGAGAACAATTCCTCTAGGGACTCAGTGCAAGGGGTCTATATATAAATTAAATCTTTGGTGAACAAAAGAATAAAGTTGGGATCGTCTCTATGTGTTCGAATGGTCTGAAGATTTTCAATTTCGCTTCTTTAGCAATTCTTCATACATACAGGGGCAGATTCAGTATTTTTTTAAGTAGAGTAGGTTAACCCTCTATGATCAAGACGTTTACGAACTCAAGTACCAACAACGCAGCAGATAGCTCATCTATGGGGGGAGGGGGCGGGGTGTGCTTCCCCTGCACCTCTCCCCTAGATTCGCCACATAGGTTTGTTTTAGATAGCTTATTTTCGGGGGGAGGGGGTGGGGTGCGCTGGTTTGTTTTGAGTCCATTTTTTGTTTTATTAGAGACGCGTCATAAAAATATTTATGGAGACCAAAATATGTTTTGTCTTGATATAAAGTATAATGCCTACCAGTTCAGGGCGTTCATCGAGTGCTTGCGTGACACGTGACACGTGACCATTAGCCGCAGCTTGCACGAGAGCCAGTCCTTCATCATCTTCTTTCTGTGTCTTTCCTTCCCCAGTAAACATTTCCGAGAATGCATCTGTCAATACTGTAACATGATTAAGCAAGGCAAGTCTAGCTGAGTCAAGGTACACTCTCAAATACACTATCGATAAAAACATTCCCTATTTGCCTCTCTCCAAAATAATTTTAGACATGAATATATGTAGATAAGTGGACTAGAAGTCTAACGAAAAGAAACAACTTTAAGAAAGCTCTTAAAAGTACTAAGAAGCCCTTAGAACAAATTTCTTTCATAAAAGGAACAACAGCAAATACAAATAAGGACATAAGTAGTTATATTTATTGTGGTTTGTAATCAAAATATCTTCTAGTTTTAAAATCAGTATTTTGAAGAAAAGATAACATTAAATGATTCTAACCACAAGTTATGTACGTTAAGTCCTTATGCGGACCTTTGGGCTTAATAGAAATAAAGTAAAGCATGAAGTTATGTACGAAGAAATGTATGGAGCGATGTTTAGTGTTGAGTGTATGACGTCACAGACTCCTATAAAAATTCGTAGAAATACCGAATATCCCGAATATCAGGAAAAAACTTTAACCAGTGATTATTAGACCTTTAAGGGTTATTCCAGTAAAGTTTCAGCTGAATTAAAATTTGGATGATTTTCGTGCTAGTCCCCCTTTAATTTCTCTGGGAGAAATAGAGTGCAATTGATGTGCCTGTTGGGTATTGGCCAGCCAAATAGCTCTTTTTGCCATTGTGCTGTTTGGGGCCAGGTTATTGCCCATTTGTTTTATCTACACTTTATTTCTTATATCAGCGTGAATAGATGAGTGGGAAGATGGAGGGGAAGTAGGGCGGGAAATATCTATTTTATATAACTCTAAATTTTAATGATCATTAACATTTTTATTTCGAGGTACTGACGTTTCTGAAGAGCGTGCTGCTTAAAGAGTGCTTGTAGTGGATGTTCATCATCGTCGTCACTATCTTCTTCCACTTCTCCGTCTGCAGCTGCCTCGTGTAGAGTCAAAATAGCGGCGTTTACCATCCAGATGTCGTTATCCACTTTTATGACCACGTTATTGTCGCTCTCAACTTTCTTCACCGTGCCTATCTTTCCCAACATCTGAAAAAAGACAGCATATGCTGGTGATATGGGCATTTACAAAAGAGAAATGGCTGCTGATTTGGAATTTGCGGTATGTTGTTTCATCTATTTATCGATCCATTACCCCATCCCATTTATCGATTGTATCCATCTATATCCATCCCATCCCATCCCATCCATCCATCCATCCATCCATCTTCTCCCATCCTTTGCTGTCATCTATTTATCTATCCATTCATCCCATCCCATCCTATACTGTACCGCTTTCATTCTGTGGTTCCATCCACCGTGTCCATCTTGCAGTTTCTCCACCAAATTCATGTCTTCACTAACCAACACTTTATCACCTTTTTTATAATGAGGGACCTAAGATATAAAAATTCATCACAAGCTAAAAATACTAGCCTCTGTAAGGAACACAGGAAAAAAAAATCTAATATCATCAGGGTACAAAGTGTACGTATTGTAAGGTCAATAGCAACAATTGTTAACTTTGGACACTGGTGATGGCAAAGATGGCTAAAACCTAGGTCATATTAAAACTTTCGGTTGATCTTAGAAAATATGTTATTCAATCAGAATCAAGAAAATTTGCAAAACTGAGGTATCATTTTTCCTTATGAAATTATGGATTTCCAGGCCACCAAACGAAAACAAACGCGTTGCCGATAAGCACTTGATAATAGTGACGCAATCTTTACACTCATGTGGTGGGCATCTTTATATTTCACGCTGGTCAATTTTCGGGAGCTTCGTCGGACACCTCAGTTTCGCAGTGACTTTATTTCTACGTCATTTCCGATCAGTGGACCAAATCTACTTGAGTGTAATGTTTTGCCCATTTCAGACCACGTGTCACTCTCTCGAGAATAAGATTCTTGTTTTAAATGTATTCATATTTAGGTGACTTCCAATGCGCAACCGTTAAACAAAGAAATAATATTCTGGGGAATGACACGTGGTCTGAAATGGGAAAACAGTGGATTAGGTCTGTTGGTTGACAAAAAAGCAGAGCGGATTTCTTTATCGTTTTATAATATAACCCTCCCCCCTGTCTCTCTATCTCTCTCAGGTTACTATACCTTGGCGAGTGCTTGTGGGGCGAACCGAAACTTTTCACCATCGTAATCTACAATGACGTCACCAGACTTGGTAAAATCATGGACATCACCGATCTTTGGAATACACTGGGAAGATGCAACAGAAAGTAAGCATTACTAGAAGAATCATTTATATCTGCTATATTAGTGCAGTTTTCGTATGACTGTGAAACGTGCACGGCACGAACACGGTCGTAACACGGCAAGGGATACGCCAGACAAATCACATTGCACGAGAATTTACTCTCCATCCAATGAAATACCTGGAACACGGCATAAACACGGCGCGGACACCGTCACGCCAAGATCACGGCACTTTTAGACCAATCATATGGCGCGTGAAAAAAATCAGCCAATTAAAATTCTAGAAAGTTTCACGATCACGGCACGTCACGCTTACGGCACTGAGCTTTTCACAGTCATACGAAAACTGCACTATATTTTTGTTTTGTGATACGTGTCGATAAGATGAGCTATCGCATTCGTACGTGACTAGCTCCCTGAAATTCAAAGTGTGCATAATTGGAAGACTTACTTATCATGCAGAAGTGTAGCGCGGAGAGTCCCAGAGCTGGGAGCACGAGTGCATGCGCAAAACTGCCCGTCTATACCACAGAAACACCTTTACTATAACTTGTGGTAAATCTTTACATTTTTTAGAGTGGCTTTTAAAGTTGGACATTAGCCCTTCTCTCACTGGTTAAATCAATTATCTATCGAGCAATTATCAATTAATTAAACAAGGATTAGTATATAAAAATATCTGCCATTAAGCTTCATTTTCCTACTTCTAAACTGTTTTTTGGAAGCGTTACAATATACTTAACGATTTGCAATCGACTTCATGTATAAAAGTTGCCTGGGAAAGCAGATTCCAATATGGCTGCCAGGACATGACCATTTTTATTGGCTATAAAGACGTTATCAGAGGTGGTTTATATACCTTTTCCATGTCTTCAGTCCATCCTCCATGGCCTTCAGCTAACTCCATCAGCTGTTCCTTTGTGACGTTAACCTTGACTTTGTCTTCAGTGGTAAAGCCGCTGACCGTCTTCTTGGCTCGTATTCGTAGTCCTGGCAGGTGGTCCCTGTAGTAGAAGCCTCCAGTTGCTGGTGTGGTTGATATTATATCGACCTTAAAAGATTTATTAGAAAAGACAGTGTTTTGCACACCTTGAGCATTCCCATTTTCATATTCTTGTATTTGAAAAAAAGTGAAAACGAGCGAACGAACGAATGAACGAACAAACAAATGAACGAACGAATGAAAAAAACAAACAAATGTGCGAACGAACGAGCGAACGAACGAACAAATGAACGAACGAATGAAAAAAACAAACAAATGTGCGAACGAACGAGCGAACGAACGAACAAATGAACGAACGAATGAAAAAACAAACAAATGAGCGAATGAACAAACAAATCTAATCTAATCTACGAGCGAACAAATATGAAGCCACAAATGAACGAACAAACGATTAATTGAAATAACGAGTGAACATATCTAACGTAAGAAAGCATGAACGAACGAACAAATGAACGAACGAATGAAAAAACAAACAAATGAACAAACGAACAAACAAATGAACGAACGAACGAACAAACAAATCTAATCTACGAATGAACAAATATGAAGCAACAAATGAAAGAAGGAACAGATGAACGAACAAACGGTTAAATGAAAAAACGAGTGAATATATCTAACGAAAGAAAGCATGAACGAACGAACATATGAACGAACGAATGAACGAAGAGCGAACGAACGAACAAACGAACAAAAGAAAGAACGAACAAACAAACGAATAAACGAACAGATGAAAAACGAAAGAACACAAAACGAACGAAAACATGAACGAACGAGCAAACAAACAAACAAACAAGCAAATGAACGAACAGGCGTAGTTCGAACGACTCAAAAGAAGAAAATAATCACAAATATTACCTTTCCTTTAAAACCGAGCCTGTACACATTCTCCTTGCTACTTCTGTCCCATTTGACTGAAACACTATTTTTAGCTCCATTCTTCCAGCTTCTTGTTTCTACCACCGTTCCCTTTCCACCTGGACCACCATCTTGTGCTCCCCAGCGCCAATCAGGTCCTCTTTCTACTCTTGCTTGACTAAAAGTACCTCTTGCTTGGACTTTCGTTGCTTCTTCGCGTTTGCCAACAAGTACACTAACCGAAAGTATAGACAAACCTCTGTGAGATCGTTATATCGTTTGCAAGCGTCGCTGTCGCTGTTTTAACGTACGACTGCAAGACATTTACATTCTTCTCAGATACTTCTTACAGCACCAAGTGAGCGTCGCAAGCATCTCCTTTTTTGATAGTCTCGTCTGGTATGCCGTTCTATGTTTAGGCAACGACTAGACAAGATCTTCTAATTTTCCTGGAAAAAGTTGCCTCGCATCGATCTTGGCCGCCATAAATATTCAATAAGAGAACAAAATATATGGCCGCGGTGACGAACAAAAACAAAAAGAAAAAAATCATTTTATAAAAGTCATCCAACATGGCGGCTATGACGTCACATGCGCCCTAAAAATGATAATATACGGATTCGGATACGGATAGTTCAACCCGGCAGTTCAACAAGAGCATTTTGTACGGTAGCCATCTTACCTTTCTCCTGTCATGTCAATTCTTTTGAAAGGGCAATCCAAGCTATGGGTATCTCCCATATAACATCTCGTGCATAACCCATAATCATCACAGTTCATGCAGAGCCATAGCAAACCAATAACAGGATTCTTGGCACATCCATCACATGTGGAGGTAAATCCATTGACCTTCACTGCAAAGTAAAGCAAACTATAGCATTACTACAACTACAGACACCCTCGGGACACATCACTTTGTGTTCGTTATAGCGAAAGTCCGAAATACAGGGATCCCGCATTCATTGTTCTACCTCCCTAATTAATGTTTCTACGTCGGACAAGCTAAAATGTGTCCTTGATATACAGCATGGAACAAACACCGATTGCTGAAAATGTCTGTCTTAGCATCAATGTATTCTAAAGGTACATTAAGAAAACAATCGATAATTACTAAAATATCTTATATGAAGTCGAGTTTTGTTGGTCGGACATTTGGTATTTCATCGGGAAAACTACCTATTGTTTGGGTAGACACTCAAAGATAGCCGGATCGGTCTATAACGGGGTGTTCGTATATAGACAAATTATAATTATTGCGCACCTGCGCAGTAGTGCCATTGGGGTTTTAAAAAATGTGTCCTTTTTTGAAAGGAATTCATATAGAGAAGCCGTAATTGACTCTGAGAGGGGGAAGGCAAACGAAAGAGACGGTTTTTATGACCTTTAGCAACAGATTTACTGATAATACTGGTAACCGCTGGGAATCAGGCCAGAAACACACCCCAATCACGGAGAAACACTTAGCGTAAATGAAATTCAATATGGCGGCTTTTCCAGCAACAACTTCGTTATGACGCCTTTGCTAAATGTTGAAAGTTTGACAAAAAACGCCTGACGTCGAACTCCAGTTTGACAACAACGTCGTAGTGCTAATACTTCTTCTTTATTTACCATACAAAGTTCTCGATAAGTATTTAGCATAAACTTTCGACTTTTAAGCTATATTATGTCCTCTAAAGTGCCCGATATAGCGGGAAAGCGTAATTTCGTAAATAGCGAGAGTCTGTAGAAGCGATCATTAGGTAGTTATGCCAATAATTTGCTTCTGTCCGCCGCAATAGCAAAGTGTCTGTGATATTATATTTGACTATAAAAGACTGAGAGTTGACTGCTTTGAGTTCACTGTAATTTAACATGTAGAATGTCCAGATTTAATTTAAAGTTCTTTGAGGTAGGAAGATGAGTTTACTCAATGATTGAAATTTAACTCTATTGAAGTTGCTTGAAATTTCGCTAATTTTCCCGCCGTTTTTTAAGACACACACTTCTGCTAAATAGCTTAAAGGCAATAAAAATCATGTAATCAATCGTCGTGCTTAAACATTTGCTGGCAACATCATTAAGAAGGTCGAAATTTAGTCTTTTTATTATTATTTTGATGCAAGCGGCGCCATGGATAACGAAAGGATCATCTTTCTATTCATACCTGGTTTTTCTGACCCACTACTGTCATAGACTCTTAAATCCATCTTTTCATCTAAGCCTGCTCTATAGTTGGCTCGTGCACCAGTGTCCCATTGCACCCATACTGTACTCTCAGCACTATCTTCCTCATTTTGTGCTGCTCCTACTACTGTGCCTACACAGCCCTCTCCGCCATCTTGGTCTTCCCATTCCCAGTCTGGGCCACGTACGACACGACAGCCTAAATACATTCCTTTTGAATGGTTGTTTTTCAGTTATTTACTAATACGATCTGTAAAAAAATAACAAATTCATTAATTCTAAATGAAAAAGGGACCAAACTCAGCTTCGTTCCTCGATGAGCACAAGCTCTTAAAGTGCTACTACGACGAAAATCGCTCAAACTTGGATTCAGCTGAAACTTCCTAAAAATACTCTTTAAAGGTCCAATAATCACTGTATGAAGTGTTTTCTCGATATTCAGGACAAAAGTATGATATTTTTACGATTATTTTTTGGAGTCTGTGACGTCATACACTCAACATCGAACATCGCTCCATACATTTCTTTGTATATAAATCCTTAATTTATTTTATTCCTATGAAGCCCAAAGGGTGGCTAATGTGCTTATTTCACATTACTTGTGACTATAATTTATATTTTGGGGTGTTTGGGTATTTCTTTCTCCCTTTACTACTGATATTTTGATCATAAACTACAAAGAAATGTATGGAGCGATGTTCGATGTTGAGTGTATGACGTCACAGACTCCAAAAAATAATCGTAAAAATATCATACTTTCGTCCTGAATATCACGCGGGAAGAACCCCGTATGGGGAGCTAGTGATGACTGTAAAATATAAGTTTTTCACTTCATCTAGAATTGGTGTTGTAAATATTGAACTAGCCGTTACGTGCACGTAAAGATACAAAAGATAAGTAAGAATACGAAAGAGCAAATCCATAAACAATGCGTGCTTTCGATTCTTTAGTTGAATTCCATAGCGGGGCTTGTCATTTCAGCGAATAATTTACTAACAAGGGTCAACGATATCAACTTGATAGAACTCGCTTTTTAGGCTCAGATGGCTCTTTTCCCGACTATTGTTTAAATTCAAAAGAAGCCAAATGGCTGCCTTCCAAACACATATCAAAAAATTTTCTTGAAAAACTTTGAAAAACCTATTTCTAACTATTTCATAGCCATTTTATGAAACACATGGTTTACAGACAAGGTTTTAAGACCCTTATTTAAAACTAAGATTTTTCGAATTTTTTAGATCCTAAAGCGCACTTAAGAATCATCAATTTTGTGCTTCGTCAGCACAAATTTCAAATAATTCTATTTTTGCTTTATTCGACTAAATTTTTAACAGCAAAATAGTTATTACATCTGTAATATATATTTCCTAATAGTATGAAGACTCAAAGTTCAGATCTTCAAAAAGTGTAACGATAGTATCGAATCTTCAGTGGCCATGATAACTTTCACTTTCACTTTCAATTCCCTTACCGAAGCCGTACTATATTTCAAAGACCAACAAAATAGTTATCACATCTGTAATATATATTTCTTAATAGTAAGACTCAAAGTTCAGATCTTGAAAAAAATGATATCAATAGTTTCGAATCTTCAATGATTGATCAATGCCATTAGCTTTCAATTTCCCTTACCGAAGCCGTACAAACAGGAAAGCAACAACTAACTTGGTTACTTCATATGAACTCCGTTCAATCGTAGCAAAATAATTTAAGGTCTCTCGTTAATAATTTGGAATGAATTACTGATCTTGTAGACGACTTCGAATGAATGTAACCTTTATTTAAAAATAAATAAAGCCAGGGTAGTTCCTTCAGAACTAATAAAAAGCTCTGCTATCAATGGAAGCCCTGGTTCGTTCGTGTCTACATATATATGTTATATATTTCCTGTGTCTTCACACTATTTCTCGAAGTAAGTTAGATTTTTATAATCTATGCGAACACGAAAAATGTAAGTTTATAAAAAATACTTGGTACGACGTCTGTCGAAATCTTTGTGCTAGAGTCGTTTCGAATTTGAACTGAAATTATGAAAGCGAAAGTATGAAATATCTTGGTTCGCTATTAATGACCAAGCAGACAAAATTTAAAACCAGGACAAACTGGGATGGAAATATTTTTTTAAAATACGTGTTAGAGATGAAATAAAGTATAATTTCTGTTTAAAAAATATATATATATACTTGATACTTACTGCAATTCTGGAGCGTTCTCGGTTTCTGCTTTGTTAGGTGTGAGTAATGAAAATGACACCTTTAGGGGATTCCCCCTTCAAATTTTCATATTGCCTATTATAGGAGTCTAATCTTAAATCTTGCGAAATGAAATAAAACAAATTTTAAAAAATGGTAAAAATGAAATAAGAAATAAAATGAATAAAAAGAATAACATAAATCGAAGCGAAACGAAGCGAAACGACATGAAACAAAACGAAACGCTTACAAAATAGAATAAAAAGAAACTAAATAAAATGAAACAGTGATATGCAAAAGGAAGGGAAGTAAATATGCTGATTTGCATTTTTTTAAATCGTTGAGCTATTAAATATTTACAAGAAATGTCACGGTATTTCATATTTATCCACAAGTAACCACAACTCTGTGGCTGCGTTTCTTGAAACCATGAAGGTTTAAAATAAGATGTTGAAATAATAAGAAAAAGTACGTTAAGTTTCGCAGCTAAAATACTCTCATTTTTAAGTAGTGTTCAGGCCATGTGCGACATTAATGTCGATGAAATTCAAAATCCCCTCGTATAAGCAGGGCTAGTTGATCACTATTTTCACTCTCCATCGCACTTACTTACCTCAGGTAAAACCTTGTTCCGACTCTCTTACAAGTTTGAACTGACGCTTTGGGAAAATACATAGATAAATAGGTGAATCTGATGAGTATTCATTAATACTACGGGGAACCCTTAAAAATGCCTTTATTCAGCATAATTTTCTACCAACGTTAGCAAAACCGGAAAAAAAAATTGTGTAGAAAAACACGTAATGGAAATCCAATGAGTATTTTTTATGCTGAAAATCTAGTTTTTTCCTGATTTGAAATGGGATTCATTCCTGTAATATTGAGGAATGCTTTTCTCCTCTGGACCTGGACCTTGATGCCTTGCAGGGAAGGGTAACAGAGCCATGTGCCATTTCCAAGAAACACAGGATGAAAACGCGAATACCACGTGTCACTCTTTCCTAGAACTTTTATATTTATTTGACCCCATCCCTTACTTCTTAAAGTGTACATGAACCCTTCGACAATACTTTCAGTACTGATTCTACATGAAGTAAATAGCTGAATGGTAAAATACTTCTTGATTTGAGTGACGCGTCTGTATAAGTTATGAAGGTTGTAGAATTATTTACAAGTCGAATCTATAGACTCCTATAGTCTCAAGAGGAAATATTCTGGGAGACAAAACAATCACTAATGTTTTTTGCATAAGAAAAGATGGCCCTTTGTACAATATCTCTAGGAAATTAATGCAAGAGGTGTATCAGTTTAAGGTCAAATCGTATAGCAGCCATTGAACTGTTTATGCATTTTATCATCTTGACTAAGATGGCGATGTTTTTCAGTCGACTATTTTCGTCTTAAAAATCTAGCCAAATAGATTTGTGATTTAGCTCAGTGGAGAACAAACCAACCCCGAACATTAGTAATCAGTGGTTTTCATGAATGTTTCAGTTCATTTGGCTATCAAAGGGGGTTTCCCCGTTCAAACTGTAGACGCTTTATAAGCACTTTTTCCATTCGTATAGTATTAATTATAGTAAGGCTGTAGTTTAGTTCTATTTCCCTGACTGAACTAAGGCCAAATACTAGATGCGTGCGAGTGTCCTTCTTATTCCTCGATAACTCAATATTCTTGTATTCATTCTTGTTCAAATATGATCATTATTCGTGTTCGTCTTGGTGTCTTTCACTTTTCTTGTTATTCGATAGCTCAAGACATTATGCACGATTTGCTGAGGAATCAGTTGTTTACAAAAGTGCTTATGTGCAAAACTTCTCGCTAGAAAACTAACACGACAAACTAACGTATTCTCCCACTTAAACTTCGGAGTATTTACGATACCTTCATTCCAGCATTACGGTGAAAAGCAACAACTGTTTCGTCGTTTCTTCTTCGACACGAGTTCTCGAGTTCTCGTTTCAGGACCGGATATCCGTGTTAGCTACAGGTAACCCAGTCTATCTATTGTGGCTCCTAAATACATTCGCAACAACAAAGGGCTTTTTCTTCCTCGTTCTGCAGGGTTTTTTTCGCATACTCCATGTAAAAAGCGCAAATATTTTGTCTATTAATTGATCTGATTACTAATGAACAGTTTACGATACAGTCGTTTGCAACTAAGCCTGAACACTAGACACTACTAGTAATAAACCATGTTCTAACTGGCCGCCGAAACGTTGAAGTTAGTCAACCGGAACGTGTATGTTTCGTAATGATTCGTTGGACGGTTGGACGGTCACGTGTCTGTACTGGACTGCAAAATTTTTGTTTTTATATTAAATTGGTGATTCTTTTTAGCTACTTGTAAAGAATTGAATGAAAACATGTGTATCCAATGTGTTACGAAATGCAGTTTTATTGCGATCTCTCAAAACAGGTTGTAGAAAGTTTGTTTGCTCACCAGTATATTTCACCCATGGGAATCAAAATGTTCATTCATTTGCTCTCAGTGAATTAATAAGCACGTGATT